TATTGGTGGGAAAGCCAGAAGGAAAGAGACCACTGGAAAGACCAAGGCGTAGGTGGGTGGACAATATTAAAATGGATCTTAGGGAGATAGGATGGGATGGGATGGATTGGATTGATCTGGCTCAGGGTAGGGACCAGTGGAGGGCTCTTGTGAACACGGTAATGAACCTTCAGGTTCTATAAAATGCTGGTAAATTCTTGAGTAGCTGCACAATTGGCCGCTCCTCCAGAAGGGTTCAGCTCCATGAGTAAGTAAGTAAGTCTCACAAAGCAAATTCAAATTTAGTAAACATACAAAGAAATCCAATCCAATTATGAGCCCATGTAAAAGTAAAAGTAAAGTAAAGCTATCCCTGTAACAGGCCGTGAAGGCCCATAGGGTTGTGAGATGTTGAGGGTCAAGCATGATCGAGACAATCGGCTCAAAAATGGCGGTAAGGTTGTCAGCCTTACGTGCCAGCTGAGCTTTACTCCCCAGTAAAATTATTTAATTAATTCCTGGTACACATTTCTGTTAGAGGCTGAGTCGGCTGTAAGGATTAGGTCAACCGAAAAAAAAAACAGTGACCTCCTTGGGACTTGAACCCATGACCTTCTGTCTTGTAGCACAGTGCCTCAACCAACTATGCTACAGTCCCCCCCTCCCCCGAGCCCGTGTAAGTATGGAAAATATCCCCCTACTTGCTATTTTACAACAGCATCGAAGCTCTTCTCTTAAATTCTAATGCTTTTTCTGTATTCCCTTAATATTCTGCTGTCTCTCTGTGATTAATGCTGAAGTTGAAACTAGTGACCACAGACTGCTGTGAGAGAATTTTGCTTGGATCCTCAAAAACCTCAGATCTCACATAGCCAATCAGGTTTACAATGAGCTGACAAGACACAGGGAGTTAGGTCCAGGTTTCTGAAAATCACCGTTGCCAATGAGGTGGGAAGGTAGCCATATCTCAATCCCACCAGCTTTAGACAAAAGGGTATGGGTCTATGTCAGAATACAACAGAACAGATTTAGAAACACAACAGATTCATTCACATACACAGCCACACTATGAGTAACTGTATAGTAACTCTGCTGTATGTTCAGACACAGCAGGGACACATAAGTTTATGAAATACAGTCAGGAACAACTACACTTAGCATAACATTTCTTAGTTGTACAGGCAACAACACACTTGGATACAGTTCACATATATAAATGTGTACATAAATTTGTTGCAATCAGACACATGATTGTAAACAGTCAAACACTTATTAGAAATTTTATTTTAGCACTTTCCTGCGCTAGTTTAATCACCATGTGGCTGAAGCATGTTGACCATGGGATGATGTGACCAATGACTAGTGAGGTTGCATTTACTTGAAATAGGAATTAATCTGCAAGGTAAAAGTTCCCAATGAAAAGAGCTGTTATATTTGAGCATCCTGTTGCACTGATTTTCATCCATTATATGTATACAGTGGCCGTCTTGTAGTGCACTCAGTTTCACCTGTCACTTCACAACATGTTTCGGCAACATAGTGCCATCATCAGGTGTCCCAATTACGTCAATCTATTGCATTACTTGCCCTCATATGTTTTCACAACACCATTTAAAAAGTATTTAAAAAGTCCATATTTGTCAACTATGATAAATTTACACTCGCTAAAACTTGTTAAGATAATTCATCTTATTTGTCTTAACCCTTTGACGCGGANGTGGTTCGTTCACTATGGGGTCGTTTTTCTTATTTTCTGTGTAAACTGCGTCTTATGATGTGTGTTCCCTTACTCGCAGCTAAGAAGGCATGAATAGGGGACGGGAAATTGGTGCTTAGCAGCACTGTCACAGAGGAATACTGCACGTGCTTGTTGTAAATGTTGTATAAGGTCGAATTTTTAGGTTGGAAGCACTGTGAATTTCTCAAATTTCTTTTTGTGATTTTCTCGTTTAGTTATCTATTATGCCATTCTATTATATATTTTATTAACCCTTGTGTTTACACACAGGCCTCATGGCATGATGTTTGAAGAAGAGGCGTGTGGCAAAATAGGGGAACTTTAGTCCTAAGCTTACAGACAGTTCTGTTGGGGACAGTGATGAAATATCACAAGCTTATGACAAATTTCACTGCACTAATGTGAGAACACACACATGAAAGGTCTGTCTTTATAATGAAAGTTACTTATCAATTGGCATTACATGGACTGGTGATTCAATTTGCTTTATTCAAATGTGCCTCGTCTGTGGTAAATAACTTCCCAATGCAACAGTTGCTGCAGCAAAACTGAATTGGTTGAGTAGGGCTGGAGATAGTACCCAACAGAATTTGCCTATCGCCTGAATACATGGGAAGGAATATGGGAGAGGCGTATGTTCAAGTAGTAAACAAAGAAGAGGCAGAGAAATCTTTGCAGAAACACAAGGATAAAAGTGGCATTTCATGGACAAAAAATTTGCAGTGATTGGGGCATATTGAAACAATGGATGTAATAAAATGGCATGGTGTGGATTTGTAATTATATGTTAAAAGGCAAAAGATCCAAAGGACAGCTCAAATCAAGATGGCTTACCCACATGAGTGATGGATGATATAAAAAGCAGGCGAAACTTGTGCACTCTAGATGAGTAACTGTGGTAGTGCATGCATATTTGGAGGTTTCTCGTGCATCATCTCACTGCTTAATGGAAACTAGACCAGAATGTCAGGAGACTAGACTGAGGTGGCTTACCAAAGTGGCTAATAATAGTTGTATCTCAAATAGAGGAACTGTAAGGACAGAGGTGCAAGGTTAAAAATTGTGGGCAGGCAAACATAGTTGGAGGCTTATCATCCATAAACCCACCCCTTAGTGGAATCAGTGCCAGCAGAAGAGACAAGAAGTAGTTTAAAGGAAGTTAAATGTTTGAAGTGTCTTCAAACCAGCAGAATCATGTGTAACATACAGGTAAAATTGTCCCTGTTCTTAACTGATTAAGCACTGTGCCATGAAAATATATGGGGGAGTGGGGGTATAGCTCCACGATTCTTGACTTCAGCACTTGATGGAAGTGAGTGGTCATCTCCATGCCCTGGCTGCTTTACCACTGGGAAAGACCCCTGGTACCCGCAAGATAGGAGGCTGGGTGGACCCCATACTTGATCAGATGTGACGATTTTGCAGTGTAATTTGACAACCGCCACAGTTACAAAAACTTCGTTATATAGCCAAAGACTCCGCGCAAGGTTATGTAACTTGGTATGGATTAGAGATTGTGTATGATGAACTGAAAAGAGTGATGATGGTATATTTATATTACCATGTTTGATTATGCCAGGAAGAGATGTTGAATATAACCATTAAATGAGAACTGAGAATTACAAAAATATTAGTTTTTTTTTGTTACCAGTTATCTGTCTGAGTCAGCATGATCTCTGACAGGGATCAGTTATGCACACGACTGGGGTCATCATTAACTGATTGGGATTATAGCATGCAATGATTATTATTTGTGGCTACATGTAGCCACCTGTTACTTTCATGATTAATAAATACATCTTTGTTGTAGATTCTAAAGGGTTCTGGTGATGGTGTATGATACTCAGAATTACTGGGTTTTTGGACTTTGTCCATCGTATCTTATTCTATAAACTAGAAAACAAGGTTTGCTCCTTCTAAGGGACTCAGCAGAGTAGGTGTCTTAGCGCTGTCACCTGATGACTGGTGTTTTTTTTTTCTACTTTCTATAATGCTGGACAGTGGACAAAGTCCAAAAACCCAGTAATTCTGAGAAATCAACTCACAGATGGCTGCAAGGTTGTCAGCCTTACATACCAGCCGCCCTTTACCCCGCAGAACATTCCAAGAATATTCCTGGTACTCATTTCTGTTAGAGGCTGAGTCGACCCCAGGGCCATAGTGCAGCTGGAAGGAATAGGTAAATTGAAAAAAAAAATCCGGTGACCTCATCAGGATTCGATCCGCGACCTTCCGGCTTGTGGCATAGTGCCCAAACAAAAATAATATTTGTTTAGCCTGAAGAAACGTTCTGTGAGCATGTTCAGTTTCAGTATACTGCTGTAAATTAAAGTAATCACATTTTTCTCGTATGTTGCTTTAAATACTAAATTAACAACAGTCCACTTCACAGGAATTGTTTAGCATGTAAGAAGTGGTATGTTTTAAGTTGTGTTGCTACAGAACATGTTTCTAACATTTAAGTATAGGGTAAAGGTAAAGTTGGCCCTGAGTTTCATTAATTAAGACATATACTGAAAGCGTACTTTCTTACCGACAGGGCAGGTGGTATAATAGCTTACACTCTTACCGACCGAGCTTTCGGCACTGGCAGCAGCCATTTTGTATCAATATAGTTGCTTGCGGCTACAGTGATGCTTCATGTGACGTCACGGAGGCGATGTTGCCTACCAATCGCTTTGAGTTACCCTAGTGTTCTGTGCGATAGATATGGTGTAGCGAACGTCCAAACCCTTCAGCGGAACTTGGGGATTCTCTGATTGGATCACATTTGTGCGATTCGATTAATTGCGATAGGTGTAATATGCTTGGTACCTGACCGTACCAGATTATCTAGTTGAGGTGAGTGAGTAGAGATGGCAGTTCTGCATGTTTCTCCATCTCCTATTCCAGTTTCAACCCCTTGCTTAGTAGGCTTAGTGGTGAGCGGTGGTGAGTGAAATATGTAGGATATGTCCTCTACTATTACCGGAAAATTGTGATCTATTACCGGAAAAGTGTGTTTTGGAAATTTGATTGCGAAAAGTAAGTTGAAGGTGGCAAATAATTTTTTGTAGGCTCGGAATTGCTGGGTGTTTGGACTTGTACATTGTCTGGTATTTTAAGACACTAGAGATCAAATTCCAGTGATTGAGGATAGCTTCTTATTTTTTTTTTAAGGGACCAGAAAGTAGGCGTTTTCCCCTCACCTGAGAACGGAAACAGATCTAGTTTCTGAAACACTGTATTTTCTAGTCTTTTAGAATACCGGACGAGCAGCAAGCCCAAAAACCCAGTAATTCCGAGTGTTATGCACCGTCGTCAGAACCCTTTAGAATCAAATTTTTGTAGGTCTGTGTGTTAGTCTTTTTAATTTTGTGACCCACTGAATTAGTTCGAGAGGAGTGTCGGTAGTAGTACGTGTTCTATCCACGATGGTGTATGTGCAGGTATGCAACAGAGTAGGAACATTGTAAGGGGAATTGAAAGGATAAGAACTTATTCTTAGCCCCGTTAATACTTTCTTACACATTGCAAATATCTCTTTGGAGCCATTATCATTTATTCGAGTATTTGCCATCATAGTTCATCCATTCCTTACATATTCGATGTAGGCCTGTAAGTTCATGATTCAGAGTGAATGGTCTGTTAAGAGAGGCCCCTCATTGAACCACAACATGACTCACTGCAGTATTTTCCAGACCCAGTTTTTCTGAATTCCTCCCATCAATGCCTATGTCTCCCAAATTGTCTCTTCCTTTCCCATTTCATATTCCTTGCCCTAAATCACCCTGAATAATACAAATTATGAATGTTATGTAATTTGCTCTACCCTTCTGTTACTTTCTCCTTTGTAAGTTTCAGTGTTCATCTCAGATGTATATATTAGTCATTTGATGTGGTAATGTTATATTGTAGCATCCTGTTGCACTTTTCATTTATCGTTTATTATTCAGTCTTACCTGCAACACCAAGTCCCACAAAACTTGTTAACTTTAAAAGTTTTGAAGTTCACTACATGTTTCAGCCTAGTATGGCCATCATCAGGCATTAAAATCTTTTTGATTAGGAAGGTGCTGTCTTCTGTTGTTACCGTATATCCAGGTTCCTTCAATGAGCTTGTATGTCAGTAACATGTGTGAATTTTCTGTTAGAATTCATGTGTGTTGTTACTATATATGCAGGTCCCTTCAGTGAGCTTGTATGTCAGTAACGTGTGAATTTTCTGTTAGAATTAATGTGTGTGAAGTTCTGTATATGTTGTGTGATTAGTTATTTTTGTACTTACTAGAGAACTTCACATACATGAATTCCAATAGAAAATTCACACATGTTACAGTAACAACGGAAGACAGCACTTTCCTAATCAAAAAGATTGTAAGGCCTGATGATGGCCATATTGGCTGAAACATATGGTGAACTTTTAAACTTTTAAAGTTAACAAGTTTTGTGGGAAGTGGTGTTGCATATAATACTGTGAATAATAAATGATATTTTGTGTGGCAATTATTTGGAACAATTACTGCAATAAAGAAACAGGCTGGCTGACTGGTGTCTGTTAAAAATGTGTCTTAGGTACAGAGAAAAGAATGAACCCCAGTTTAAATTGTACATTACTGTTCCCTCTGTGTAGTGTGTCTTGCAGGTGGTAGTGCCAGCATTGAATGAAACTTTTCTGTTGCCTGGTACAGTTTCAGTCACATGAATAGCTGTGGGTAATTAAGTCTCTTGTGAGTATGGTATTGGCAGGTCGTGACTTATTGCACACATGAAGCCTAGCACCAGAGTACTCATAGTGCGGAGTTTTTTTTTCTTGTGTTTCAATGTTTTTATCTTAGCTCTTGCAGATGGTTTGTTCTGTGCTTAGTTTGTATTCCCTAACTTATGTTGGTGCAGGTGTTCACATATGGACTACCGCTATTGATTGGGCCGAACTGAGGTTTCACCTAAAGATGGAGACAGAATCCAGTCTCCAAAACCTTGTGTTTCAAATAAAAACAGGATAGTGTTTTAAATGAAAACAGGATGATGGATGAAGTCCAGAAATCCACCTGGATCAACTTCTCATTCTTAACTTGGGTCCATTTTTTCAGGCAACAATGGCAACAGATTCAGACAGTGTGTATGAATTAGTCACACAACTCTGTGAGAAGATTATGAAAGAACATATCCCTTCACATTCTTTGGAGCACCACGGCTCCAACAAAATTGTGAAGGGTTTGCGAGCTCTTTCATATGCAGTCCTGTTGAACAAGTCTTACACATCATGTAAGTAGTAGCTTGTGATCAGAATAACTTTCATTTGTTAATTTTAACATTTTCCTTGTGTGCATTTCTTGTAACTGTCTGTGTACATTTTGTCGCACTATGTTAACTCTTTGACTGGCGCGAAGGGTATTTAAATCCCACCCCTGTCCTGGCAGGCTCTTTAAACCTTATGTCGCTAAAATGCATGTAGTTACTTTTTCCTAAACAACTTCAACAAAAATTGGTTTTTAAAAACGAAATTTTCAGGAACTAATTAAAATACAATATTTTATGCAATAAATGCCTTTCCATACCTCTTTATTAGTTTTTCTTCGTGTGATAAACATTGAAACATGAAAGTTTGCAGAGAGCCACACCGCAGCATGCACACATGATACTTGTTTCTTTTCTAATCTTGTGCTTAGCACTCACGCGACACTTTCTCAGGGCACCATTCTTCTTGTTACTGGGAGGAACATGGACCATTTTGTGAATTTTCAAGCCACCCTCTAGACGATTTACTGGCTCTTTCACTGGTGGTCTTTTCAAGGTCGAGGGCGGAGGCGTGACTGCACTCGAGTCTGACGCAATAGATTCGTCATCCACTTCATTCCTTGACTCTTCTCCCTCTCCACCCTGTTTGTTTGGTTCAGTCATTTTTCTACACAGTCCAATATAAAATCTTTGAATCTGTAATTTCTCTTCTTGTATTTTTCGTTTGTTGTGTTCTTTTTGAATAGAATGAAACTATTCAACTGCAAAGACCGGTTTTGTCCATACCATGGGTGTGAAATAGGGGCCTAGTGGACAAATATTCTTAAATTTCAGGGCGTTTGTCGATTCCTGTCATGAACACAATTCCTAAGTATGTCCAGATTTCATCTGATGTGACATAATTGTAATTGTGTTTTCGAGAGTGAGGAGCTGACTCATGTGTGTTGAAGTGCTGGTGAGCATAGCGATTGGTTTCAGTTGTGATGTGATTTACCAAGTCGTCATCCAGAAAAAATTTTAATCCATGAAAAGGGATGCATTTTATGTGTTATATCAATTTTGATCCCGAAACTATTAGCAAATGGAAATATTGGGGGTACAATGTCTCCGTACGTTCATGAGATGGGCGTGTCAGGCACCGCACTCGTGGTAGGTAAATGTTCATGATTACTGTCTTGTGGATCATTGTCTATCACTGTATTATTGTCACTATCAACTTCATCCAATTCAGGAATCATTATTTCATCGCCACTTTCATCATCAGAACAAATCTCGTTCATAACATTTTCCAGCTGGTCTGTAGGAACACGAAGACACTTGCTGCAAGAAGCCATGGTGAAACTGAATGAATGTGAAATATTTTCTGACCTTTACCTTCTCAGAGGGTTCTGACAGTAATATAGACCCCCCACAAAGTTTACAAGGGTTCTTTACAAACATGCACAAAAACTATCATATATATGTCTTTGGTTGATGAGTGCCAAGAGAGCAAAGAAGGGAAGAGATTGTCAAAGCGTTAAAACACGCCAACGCCAGGGAATGGCTGGCATCGTCCGGGCGTTAAAACACGCCCGCGCCAGTCAAAGAGTTAAAGAGACTTGTCTGTTTGTTTGGTTATATGTAATTAACTAATTCCATGGAGCCAAGTCCTTTTTGAGAAACCAGCAGTTGCTCAACCACTCAAAAAATCCCTGACATATTATGGAATATGAAGGTTCATTAGGGTGCCATTGGTCTCTATTGTCAGCCAGATGAGTCCAGTCGATACTCCCCCCACCTGTCCTGTTTCTCTAAGATCCATTGTAATATTATCCTCCTGTCTACATCTTCCTAGTGTCCTCTCCCATGCATGCTGCATTGATCATTCTAAATATATTTGGCAGAGAGTGCAAGTTATAAAGTGCATCAGTAATCAGTTTTCTCCAACCTCTTACCATTTTATCCCTCTTCAGTCCAAATATTCTCCTCAGCACCCTGTTCTCAAATACCCTCACTGTGTTCTTTCTTTAGTGTCGGAGAACAAGTTTTGCACCAATACAAAACCATAGGCCTAATTATAGTTTTGTATTTTTGTTTCTATTTTATTGTTTTTAGACCACAGTCAAAACAAACAGTTCTGAACTGACTGGTAGCAAGCATTACTCGAATTTAATCTGCTCGTCATTTCTTGATGAGTAAAATTTTAATTTGTTACTGCAGTTCCAAAATATTTGAATGTTACTACCTATTCAAAGGATATGTTAACTGTCTTTATGTTACAATTTTGCCCTGCATTCTGGTGACTTCTAGACCAACCTCCTTTGTAGTATCAGTTCCTGTGTGTTTTTTATGGGTGTTAGGTTATCTGCCAGTAGATTTACATCATCAGCATAGATCAGCAGCTGATGTGGCCCATTCAGTTTCAGTCCCATCTGGTTTTCTTAAAGCCTAAAAATGACATGTTCTAAAACAAAAGGAAACTCCGTGGTTTTAGTTCGCAACTATACTGACCGACTGAACAACTACCGCGTTTCGGCAGAGTTAGTGCCAACTTTAGTGGACAGAGGGTGTCACATGATCAGCACAACAAATCCCGACAGCCGTTAATTTCGGTTTTCTAGACCGTAGCCACTATTTCTTTGAAGTAGTTCCTCAGTTATTATCACGAGGCTGAGTGGACCCCGTTCCAGACCCACTACTTCTCAGAAAAAATCTGGTAGTGCCAGGACTCAAACCTGGACCTCTGGATCTGTAGCCAGGAACTGTAACCACTAGAACACAGAGGCAGTTGGCATGTTCTAAAGGAAGTTGAAAAGCAATTATGATACAGCATCTGAATCTTCTAGACCAGCGATGGCCAACTGGCGGCCCGCGGGCCGGATACGGCCCGCGACTTGATTTACTCCAGCCCCCCGCCAAGTCTCAGGTTTATTTTAAAAAATCTTAACTTCACAGCTGTATTGGCATAGAATTCAGTTTTTAATAGGACATTTCATTAGCTTACAGCATTTTGCAATTGACAGTATACGTTCTTACCGAGTTGGACAGTTCAAACTGTGTTCTAATAACTGTGTTCATGTCATGGAAATTCCAAGTCCCCCAACCCTACTTCTGTAGGGAGATGACACTGAAGGGAAGACCGTAGTGGTGAAGGATGTATGACACCTTAAAAATAGTAACCATTCCCAGCTTGCTCACGGGGATGGGATGTTCACCATTTCTCTCGGCATCCTGGCCTTTGTTAAGTGCCAGTTTTAGCAGAAATGTCTCCCAGTTAGTGCGATTTTAGAAAGTGAAGTGTGATTATGGAGTGTGAGTGTAGAACTG